GATTTGGAACAAAACTTAACCATTAACAGTATTTTAACAAGGATTATTTTATTACTGGACAATTTGAGTGAAAATAGGCCTGAAATTGCTCAGTTTGAATCCAATCCAGGACAGCAATAACTTAAAATAATTTGCAACTGAAGCACTGTAATTGAGTGGGCTGAGCAGCCAGGTTTGTTGCTAAATGGTGTCCACATTAGAGAAGCCATGCAGCTGATTTGTACTGCAGTCCCTTAAAGAGCTCTCAGCAGCCATGGGTTGAACAAACACAGAGTCTCATTTAAGATGGTTCATCCATGTCAAAGATGACAAAAAGCAGCAGAGTAGCTGGGCCATTACCCTTACCTGTGCTGGAGCTCTTCTGTTTCTAAATGACTGAGATGACTCTTCAAGGCTGAGTGACTGAGTTTCCAACAGCAACAAATTCACAGGCAAGAAAAAGGATAAACAATGTCCTGAAGAGATGCTGTGATCCAGCAGACCTTGTACTGGCTCTACCACAGACTTGCTATCTACCCATAAGTAACTCATCACTCAGCTCGTAGTGCCTCTAGACTGCAAATTGCCTGCATACTGCTTTAGGGGTTCATGAAGTAGGTCTGATTGCTGTTCCATGTGTGGATAACACCAGAATAATGATGTTGTGGTTTTGGATTCCTACAGCATATATTTTGGACCCTTTGTGTTACTGATACACCTCACCTTCTCCGTACCTCTGTCTTTTACAAAGATGATGATAACAAACCCCCCAAATTAGAATTAAACCAGCTAATGGTTGTAGAGCACAATGAGCTTCTCAGTGAACAATATGCTTGCATCAAGTGACAGCAGCAGGATTTTTGCTGATAACTGCTTTTTTCTTCCAGCATTCCTTACCAATTTGTCTGAAACTACTGACACCAGGTATAATGCGTTCTCTCATTTCTCATTATATCACTTCAGGCTTCTTTTAAAGTTTTTTTTGTACTTATTAACTTAATAGGCATTTTATTTTTTTGTTGCTTTTCATCACAGGTGGCTAATGTTCCATTGCTGGCTGGCACACTGAGTATGAAAAATGATCATTAAGTTAATACTCAGTTTAACTATACCAGTCTGCATTTACATTGAAGCAAAAATATGCATAAATAGCTTCAGGTTTACCACTTCAGTCTCTCTCATTATACGTAATAGCTTGATAATTTTGTTTCTATATAGTAATTATTTTCATGCTAATATATTTTTGTGCATACAGTAATAATATTTTACTTGTTTCTTTGTCACTGAAAATTATCCTGGAGATTACAGAGCAGACAAAATACTTTCTTCCCATCACTAGCTGTGACTAATCTCAATGTTATCTCCACTTCTGCTTTATGAATTTTGGCTCATTACCAGAAAGAGTGTAATAACAATATATGCTAAAAAATAGTTGACTAATGCAGGCCTGCTTTAAAAAAAATTAAACACTTATCTTTCTTTTATGAAAAGGAAAGAGACTTCTGTGTGAAGTTGTTTAGAATCATGTCTCAAAGTAGTAAAGGTGTCATTCATCACTGGGACAGATCTAGAAATTTACTCAAAGGCTTAACAATGTTAACATATTTTTTCCCAAGTTGTTTACATTCCAGGAGCTCAAACCATTCTATGAAAAATAATTAATTATCCTTCAGCATAGTTTCTTCCAGGCAGGCCAGTTACCCACAATAGTAGAAAAAAAAATTCAGACACAAACAGGTTGGTGATTTGTGAAGAACACAATGGTGAAGGTGTGAGATGGGAATCCTGACCTGTGGCCTCTTCAGAGGCTTGTATTTCCAGAGTGTCCTCACACCTGGGCTCCACTATTTCAGGAATTCTGGGAAATGCGGTGTTCTAATTGTGCCTCTTCCCTCAAAGCCTGCCTTAAAAATGCATACTCTTCAGAAGCGGCCAAAGTGGGTGATATATTGCAGCTGTGTTGGGTTTGAGACCTATGACTCATCTGTATAAGGGGAATTGGCAGCTGACAAAGGAACTCACTGTCTTTACCTGTTAGGAAGGGACATTTAGAAAAGCTGGGCATTTGATGTAAAAATTATATCGTTTCTTAGTAGTGCACAGGTGAACATGCATGAAGTATGAATTGAGTTCAGTTCCTTTTCCTTGAAAGACCATGCCTACCCCTTTAGAATTGTCTTTTTACCTCTTACAGCACCACAGTGTCTCCATATTCAGTTCTCTATATTCTCACCTTCAAATTGCTTCCTATTTCAACTGCCTGGTCTGTTTTTTCCTCTCAAAGTTCCCTTAATCGAGCTCTTGCCAATCCTCCTTCCAGTTTGAGAACTCCATGAGAATTAATCACCTTAGAGTATGTTCACAGCACATGTACTGCTATGAACTAAACCACTCCTTATACCTCTGCATTATTCTAGCTATATCTCTAAGTTTGCAGACAAATTGTGAACAAATATCTTATGGCTTCTATATTTATTTCCCTCCACTTTCAAACTTGTGGTGCCTTGCTTACATTTTTTATTCTTTTGAAAACATTGCATAATTTTGGATAGCTTTCAAAAATATTTTCAAGCACACGTTGAGTGGGATGTGAAGGAGAATCTGTGACTGTTCTGCAAGAGGTCAGACTAGACTATTGCTTGTCACACTAATTCTTGTGTTGGCTTTAAGCACATATTCAGGGCATAAAGCTTGTTCATGATTCCCCTCCTGAATTATTAAAATCATGGCGTGATAGATGATCTGAGCCAAGGGGTAACACTGGGGCATTTACAGCTAAAGTTGTAGAGTGGAAATAACACAGTTACTTTCCTCCACCCACCCCCCCACCCCCCCCGTTTTCTGAGCTCTTGAGAACTAATTTTAAAATATGTATATATGTGTAATATATTTGTGGCTTATCTTTCTAATTACCAGTATTATTGGCTTCAATTCATGGTAGCATCAGAATAACTTCTTATCTCTTGTTTAATACTTTTGGAAAATAAATTTGCACCAAGGCCAATTATGCTGCAAGCAGTTAAAATAAATCCACAACCCCAAAAAGGAACAAGAGGCAAAACTATACTTGTAGAATCTTTGTTCTAGTTTCTTTTGACTGATGACTGATAAACATCTAGTGAATACTGAATTATAATTCTGCCCATCTGTTAGCGATAACACAGCATGTTAGGTACTCTGCTACTGAGTTCAAGGCTTTTCTATGGTTCCTCATTTCCACACCCCCAGAGAAGGGTGTGAGGGGAGGGAAAAGATGGAGCTGGATACAGTCCCTAAGGCATTTTCAGTGGTGTTCAACTTTCCTCAAACAGATACAAAATTTCCAAGGGGTTTACCTCCTATTTCAACATCTAATTTAACAGCTGTGACTTCAAAAGACTCATGTGCTTTATACGTGAAGCTAGCTATTGGTGACAGAGCTGGAACAACACTTCTTAGGACATCTAGGCTATACCTCAACTAAATATACCCCAAACAACACAATGATTTCTAATAGGAAAATCCATATTGTACAGGCAGCAATTGTGTGTTCAGACACACGAGATAACCTTACTTTACCGACCAGTTTTGCAATTTGAGTTTTAAAAACTACTGAGAAATGGTTGTTCTCTCATAAGAGATATTTCAAAAATGTCACTTTTTTTTCTCAAGATTCTGCTATCTTGAAAAACAATAGTGATTTTTAATATTTATTTGCACACTTTCTTCATTATGAAGTGAAGCCAAGACTTGCTGACATTATTAGCAGGATAATTATATATATATATAAATATATTTTATATATAAAATATATATTCTATTATATATAAAGAAAATCTGTTTTCTTTATATCCTATAGAATTTCTTTACTTTGCTTCCATTTTGGGAGAACAGATCTTCGTGAATTAGGCTCATGCAGGGGCTGTGTATGTTGAGATTCTGCAGTTTCATTTCTACTCCAAGTTTCTGTCAGAAATTCCCAGCTGTTTGTGCTTAGTCTGTCAGGAGGGACTTCAGAATTCATCTCCTCTTAATTAATTGAGCAGCTTTTTTTCTGATGCTTTTTGTCTCCTGTTTTCTGTATAGTCATGCTGAGTACATTTTGACCTCTCCATTTTCCTTTTTTAAACCAATACAGCTCAAACAGGCCTGCCGTCAGGAATATGTCTCCGTTTGGGTACCAAAACATTCAGGCGCTCTATTTTTCAGTCTCTAAATTCTTGTTCAAAATGAAGGCAAATTATGGTGAACCCTTGGAATAAGGTTTTCTAGAGACCAAGTTGCTCCTTTCCAAATCCACCTTCTATAAATTGGTTCCTTCTACCTTCAGCAAATGCAGTTCATGCCCTCTTTCTCTCTGGATTAGATGAGGTAATACGTCAATTATAGAGAAATAATCATAGAGGGACCCTGGCTTTACCAGTGGCCAAGTAATTACTAGAGAGTGCTGTTTGTCTCTTCAACTGATTTCAGTGCCCTAGTGAGAAACGCTCAGCCCCTCGAAGGAGTAGGCCCTGCATCATTTCTAATCACATCCTTGGCTCCTCTAGTGGATCTGGGCTTTAACTGTTAGTTAAGCTGAGATAGTGGAATGGTATGAAGAGTTACACGAATTAAAGATGGGAAACCTTCATTATTTTACATTGCCTGCACTTGCTCCAAGATAGGACTCTTCAGAGTTGCAAGTAATTGCTTTGAGTTTTGTAGCAGTTTGTGGCTGTTCTTTCAAAGTTTGTAGTGATATCAATTAAGGAACAGTAGTTAGTTATGTACTGGATTAGGATTCCTTAGAGTTATGATTCTGACTAACAAAATGGATGTCACTTTGGCTTAGGGATTCTGTCACTTCAGAATGGTTGCATTGAAAGCAATAAGCAAAACATTAGAGAAACCAGTCAACATAACATTCAGCTAAAATGTTCCTTACTACTTGCATTAATTACCCCACAGTCAGATAGCTCTGTGATTAAATTTACATTCCTAAAAAACCTCATTAAGACAGTTTGACTAGCTTAATTCATTTTCTCTGCTTTCACACACAGGTCAGCTTGACATCATCTCAATGGCTGAAACAACAATGATGCCTGAGGAAATTGAGCTTGAGATGGCAAAGATCCAGAGACTTCGGGAAGTCTTAGTCAGAAGAGAATCAGAACTCAGGTTTATGTAAGTATCAATACTTCTGGGAAAACACTATGCAAAATTAATCAAAATAGGAAAGAATGCTATTTAGACGACTTCTATCTGCTTGACATTTTAAAAGGAAGAAAGATAAAGAGCATTCCAGTTAGGTGAATGCTTGCAAAATGCCTTTGGGAAATGATTTTTGTAGTTACAAAGGAAATTACCTTTTTTGTTCAGCACCTTCTTTATTCAGTATGATTTGCAGAAGACATAAAAGGGATCTCTGACTTACAAAAGGAAACTTTGGCAAAGTACATGTCCACAGAGCATATTTTTATACCTGACTTCAGTCCTCTGCAAGAAGGATATTTGTCTGAAGAAAATATCAACAGGTAGGGGATTTAGAGCTTCCACAGTCTAACCTTATTCAGGCTTTATTCCTCATTTCATTAGTCATTGACAGCTCATGTCACAAGAGAGCACACTGTGTTCTGGAGTAATAGCAACCAAGATTTGACATTTGTTAAATGGAGGCCATTAAGTTATGAACACAAAACACATTTTGATGTATCAAATTAAATAGCAATATTCCAAGAGAGATTTTTAAAAGTGCCAGAAGGGTCAGGGATAGGAGCCTCACTGAAGGCTAATGAATATTAATCCAGTTCTGATGATGAAGTCCATAGGGTTTATATTCCTAAATCACTGAGTTTAAAAGATCAGGACTTATTAATGAGGAATGTATTATTTTGAAGACCTATCTGTCTGTGGGTACCTGAGGTCAGAAACTAACACCTTTGCTAACAGGCCAAGAACTTCAGTAGATCTAAAACCCATTGAACCCAGACTCTTGACATTAATGAAGTTACAGTAGCGTGAAAAAACTCACTTGCTCTCTTCTCCCTTTAAAGTACAAAGATAGGACCGGTACTTTAACCCTTATACCTGGAGGTTAGTTTCAGTGCTGTGACTTGCACTGCCAGAAGGTGAAAGCCTCACCCTCAAACAGCACAGACATCTATCTGTGATTATTAGCCCAGACTTCAGCACAGAATCACTGCTTAGATAGCTTTGGAAATAAGGACTGGTAGTAGTGACACTGACCTTTATAATGCTGTAGTGGTACAAATAAAGTAAACAAGAAAGATTTTGTCACACCTGCTCCTGATAGTCAACTACTTGGTTATTGGCTTACACATAAATTTAATCCAGAAACGGTTTCATCATTGAACCCTGCACTTCTCTTGACATTTTCTGTATCAAACAAAGCACTGAAATAAATTGCCCCAATGAATGAGAGACATGGCAGACATCTGTTTGTCATTGTTTTGCACGTTCTCCAGTTGTTCTGTTTGTTCTTGTATCCAGTCTGTTCTTTTAATTTCCCCCATGCTCACACTCATCACACTCTTTACTTTGTATTGCCTAGCAGGTGTTTGAGTAAGGAATTTGACACAGAGGAGCTCACTTATTGAAAAGGGAATATAACTGACTTTCATACTGTGCAACAGTACTCCTTCTGCACTAAATATTGTCCAAACACACTCTGCCTAGAGCTGCCCAAAAGCATTCCCCAGCCTTTCACTGGCTGAGTGAGGAAAGCTCTTCTGAGCATCATAGTCTTCATCCACTAGGTTTGGCCCTGAGTATTAGCAAAGCAGGCAGGCGACAGAGGCAGCAGCTGCCAGAGATGGCCCCACATTTTTGTCTTTTCTAAGTCATGGAAAGCTAAGCTGGTTGCTGCTGCCACTGTCTTCAGCAAGAGGAACTGAGGTCTGTGCCACTGCCACAGACCCTCTTATTCCTTCAGCAGCAACGGGCCAAGATGAACGCTTTTCCAGGGATATTCACAGAGCTTTCTAGCCCAACTGCTCCCTTCTCCATGACAGAATATCCTGACACTGCTCATTAATCCTTGAGGCAGTTAAATTTTGTTTGTTAACACCACTGAATGAAATGGTGAGATAGCATCTGTCTCTGCATTAGGACTCTACTTGCAAACCAAGACTGCACTCATCATAATTTTTCAAGCCCCGTGTAGGCTTCCCATCTTTCTAAGCCCACTCACAACAGGCAAGTTCTTCATATAGGCTCATGAAGTGTGAAAAAGCAGCCTCTCTCACTCACAAAGGCCTCCAGAATTAGAACATGCTTCCCTTAATAGCTTTTAGGAGTGCAAAAGATCATCTATTTGACTTTATCTAATTTTTAAAAATGTTCTTACATTTTATTCCTGACAAATGAGAAGCACCTTGCTAGTGATGCCCAACTAATATAGCAGCACCTGTTCTTTACTGCCTTTCATTCTGGATAGTTTACACTAACAGAGGCTTGCTTGCATTTTTTTCAGTTACAAAACATCTTTTAATGACAAATGTCTTTTAATGACCTTTTGCTGAGATTAACAACACAACTCAGTTACGTTAGCGGTCCAAGGTTTGTAACCGTTTAACTAAGCAGATTACATAAACTCTAATTCATAGACATACTGTGGAAGACTTCATATGTGGCCATATTTAATTGTTCTTCAGTTGTTTCCTGAAGTAATGCATTGCCAGTGACCCAAGACCAGAAGTCAGTATGTAGATCATGAATTTTAGTAATAGTTTTCTTCTGACAGTACTAGATTCTCCTGTGAAGAACTTATACAACCAACTGCATGAAACTGAGCCACCTCAGTGAGGTTTAAGGCAGACTGAACTTTGAACATGTGGCTGGTAACTAGCAGTACCACACCTACATTCAGACCACTGAGTCTAAGACCAGCTTTAATGAGAACCAGATCTTTTCAGTTCTTGTACCTGCTTTAGCTTTTCATTCAGTTATAACAAAAGGATAAAACATAGTAATGGAGAAAACGTGTGGTATGTTGGTATTTTTTTTTTCCCTCATGCTGTTAGCAAAAGAGTAGAAATTCTCTTGCTAAATTGATCTTTTTGTAGTTCTTATAAAAGTATGAACACAGTTAAATAAATCTCTATCACTTACACACCCAGACACAGCTTATAGCTCTAGCTACTTTTTTAAAAGTAATGGTTCACTCTTCTGTCTCTCTGTATGACTGATTTTTTTTTTTAATTCACGTGTAGCCAGATCCTAAAGCTAGGACAAACTATACTGTATCTGTGCTTATAAAAAAAAAAAAAAAAAAAAAAAGGAAAGAAGAAGGAAACAGAAATAAGCTAGAGGGCTTGCGCTCTGAGTGTATCACCAGCCCCAATGGTGGCAATGGCTCCCTCCTGTTAGAGGCCAGCTTTACTTATATACACCAGCAACTACCACAACTCTTCAGAACACAGACACTGTATTTTAATAATATTCACACTCGAGTAAGAAAACAAAACACTGCAAGCTAGACCTGTTGCTGATGGAAATCAGAACAAGTCCTTCCCTTGTCAGAGTGATGCAGGTTTAATCCATGGAAGGAACTTGCTCTAAAACAGCTAATTGAAATTACTGTTTTAATTAAAGAAGACACAGAAAGGAGATCAAGATGGGATAATAATAACACTCACCATTACTGATGTTTGAAACTGCAACAGGCATTATCTTTAACTGTTATGTCAACATTTTGCCCAAACAAATGCAGTAGCCATTAAATAAGAGCATTTAACAGAACTGTTCCAGATTAGCATATCAGCCAATGCCAATACAAAAAAAAAAAAAAAAAAAAAAACCAAAACAACCAACAAAAAACCCCAAAACAAAACCCAAAACAAACCAAACCCAACTAAAAAAAAAAAAAAACCAGCAAGGTCTGGATGCTCAGTGGACCTAGAGCTGGTTTGCATTTTTCACACTTCTGTGCGGGAACCAGTAAAAACTTTTCCTGCTGATGAGATCATTGATAATGTAATATTCTTTCAGGCAGTTCCTCAGCTGTGATCTATATAGCATTTGTCTCTCTTCAGTAAACATGAACTCCACATGAGGGAGTCTTTAGCAAAACATACAGACAGCTTTCCTTGCTTTGAAAGTTATGGCATCAAGGCCTTATTTTTACCATAGTAATACTATGAGGTCCATATTCCCTCTCCCCACTGAGCAAAGTAACACCAGTGACTAATGAAGTCTGTAGGACAACAAAAGGGATAAAATGAAATGTGTTGCTCTAGCATCACTACACAAATGTTACATTACAGTACTCACAGTTGGTAACACTTCAGTATCTAAATAAAATCTTTACTGAACAGTTCATCATCACTAAAAGCTTTAGAAGAGTCACTCTGTAGGGGTGAAAGAAAGAGTGGGATGGTGAAGAAATAAAAGCTAGATACTTAATCATCATTATGATTTCAAAGCAAGTCCTAAGTATTTGAGAATCAGGCAATGGGATTAAACTAAAAAATAAATGGATTTAATAGTATTAGATTTAAGAAGTGATACAGAGTAGTGTTCAAAAACTGTACAAAATTATGTTTTTTTTTCCTCATATATATCCATGCAGGCTTTGTGTCTCATCTGTTAGGCTATGTCTATCAAACATACATTCAACAGGCTCAGATTTGCAGTTTTCAAAAATAAAGTGAGGAAAATTTCAATTATATTTGAACAAATTTCACATACGTTTCTGTGATTATGTATTGAGTTAAAACAACAAAGCTTATGTTTTTTTAGTTTATGAATTTCCCCCCACCTCTTTTCAACAGTCACACTGTGAATAAGCAAGTTGCTTTGTGCTGTACTGGATATTAAAATTACTCACAATCTTTGCTCTGGGATATTGACAGAAAGGTTAATCTCCTCAGGAAGAAATTTTCCACCTTTAGAAAGAGATTTGGACACCCAATAAGTAACAGTGACTCATATGATACTGAAGTCAGTTACCAGATAAAAGACCTCACCTACCTGTGTGTTTATGATTCTGGTTAAAGAAGAAAAAGGGCAGCAAAAAGTTCCTTTAATAAGAGGCACACTTTTTTTTTTTTTCAAGTTTAGAGGGACTCCTTCGTATGGGCCCTTCCACTGCAGAGCCATGAAAGGCAATGCTAACTGCTTGCCCTTACAGGTGAAACGAACTTTGTGGCCGCATGAGACAAAAT